AGGGTACAGGGAAGTGAGTGTTCAGCTCATGCCCACTCCGTGGCTGCTCTGACCACCGCCTTCCCCTATGCCCAGCCTCCTCACCCTGTCCTCGTGCAAAAGGGCCACCATTGGGCTACCCTCCTCACAACAATCTTCACTCTCCTCGGGAATGAATGGGCACCAGATGATCCTACGAAAGTGGTTCAGCAGCGTACCCTCTGGCTGCCGGATATGGACCAAAATCTCTTCTCTGAACAAAGCGTTAAGGGCTAACCAGGTGGATGATGAGCTCTGCCCACCTTTCTTCAGTCCCCCATCCCATCCCTGGAAAAGGATACTGAATTTTGCCATTAACCAGAGCCAAGTGCCACACAAACAAGTTGCCTGCCTCATCCAGGCAGGCCAGCTGTGGGGAGTTGACGTGTGCGAAGGCCAGGTCAGCCACACTGCCCGTGAAGCCCTTGAGCAGGGTCCGCTCCGAAGTGCTGACGCTGATCACCCGCACCATCGCCGAGCCATTGTTGGCAGCTGGAATCAGGATGGCGGTTGGCTGTGAGTGGGTGTCTAGGCCCAGGCAGCAGCAGAGAAGCCCTGCCCTTGCCTGCCTCACAGCCACCACCAGCCTCAAGCCTGGTTTTCCCACTTGGCTCCCCAAGGCCTGGCAGAGGTCGGGGCAGCACACACAAGCCTTACATTGTATCCCCAAGGTCTGAGTGGGCTGAGAGCCCTTACACTAAACTTGCATCTCTGGGGCTTCTAGCAGAACACCTCCTTCCTGTCCCCTGCCCCAACTCACCCCGAATGGCATAGGCCAAGAAGGAGTTGGACACAGCAATCAGGTTGCCATAGTAGTATTTCTGCTCCCAGTCATACTTGGCGACGGGCTGGATTTTCACCTGAGGACCAAGGGTGAGGAAGGTAGTAGAAGCTGAGGGCTGGGGCAGCTTTCCTGGAGTTTAGATGGTCCCCTGCATTCCCAGGGACAATAGAGGCCACATATGCAAGCCCAGACACCCAATCACAGCTCCTCGTGTGAGATTCCCACACAGACTTGGTAGCCAACCCCGGCTTCCTGAGACTAGGCACATCAGCTGCCGGTTAAGGTGGTCCCCATGGGAACTGGCAGCATGGGAGAGGCTGTGTGTCCCCATCCACCGTACATGACACAACATCTTGGTATTCACCTTGTTGCTCCCCCGTGCCTTGCTTGAGATGCTAGACTCACTGCTGGCCACAATTTCTACCTCTTTGGCTGAGATCCCAATGCAGGTAGAGCTGTCGTCTCCCGAGAGGCAGCTGCAGGGAGGGGTGCACAAGCTTAATTTTTGTTCACCCAAAGTCTCCATGGGCAGGGTTGGAATGAGGAGAGGATACAACCACTATAGGGCAGTTGTCCAATCCCAATACACAGTTCTGGGTGCACTGGTCCCCAGACCCATAGCTCCCCTTGCTCACCTCCCTCCTTGGGAATGCTAAATAAAGTACCTAAACATCAGATCCAGACCAAGCCCCTGAGCTTGTGCTCACCCCTCATCCCAGTGCAAGCTCAGTGTGGTTAAAGTGCTCCAGCCCAGGACATCTAGTAGAGGAGCAGTAAAGGCTGCTGGCCCTTCTCTCCCCTCATCTCATGCCTTCAGCCAGCAAACACCCCAAACACCCCATCGCCATCACTGTTATTTCCCAGGCACTCACATGACCTGCTTCTCCTGCAGGTTAATAGATGGCTTGGCCCGGAGACCAGGCTTGTTTGCCGAAGTACCATCACCTGAGCAGAGAGGGTCTGGAACCAGGAGCCCATTGAGGTCCCCATTGTAGGTATTAGATGGCCGCTGGCTGTCTGCACTGGGGCCTGGGGGCAGAGAGGGCCACTGTCATGAGCTTGTTCCACCTGCCTACGAGCCTCTCCTAATGCAAAGCTCCCCTTCAGGACCATGAGGCACTGCAGCAACACTCAAGTGAGGCCTGTCTGTGGGAAGGAGGGCCCTTGTTCATCTCTCATATTCCATACACACTGACAGTGGACCCGCTTGCTGTACGCCAGGACTGAGGAGGAGCATGAGGCTCTTCTATCTGGGAGAGGGGTGCAAGCTATCAAGGATCCTCTGAAGCCAATTAATACTCAGACCCAGGTCAGCACAGAGGGGCTCTGTGTACTTAAGGGAGGGCATGGGAAGGGCCAGGACAGACTTCACAGAAGAGTCACCACCATCAGAGCCACTGTAGCTAGAACACACAAACATGGGAAAGATGAAGAGAAAACTCGGCTGCAGAGGTCTCAGGTATGAGGCTGGGGCACTTAGGTTCTCCAGGAGGCAATGAGGGCCACAGAAGAGTTTTAAAAGGGAAGATAACATGGTCAGCACTGGCCAGAGGGCTGACTGCTCTAAGGCAGCATGCAGGATAGTTGAGAATCTGGGTGAGAGATACAAGGGCCTAGACCAAGGTAGTGCCAGGGGCTGGAGAAGAAAGAGTGGGCTTCTAAGTCACGGAAGGACACTGATAAGATGTGGAAGGAAGGAAGGAGCCTGCCCCACAGAGAAACGGCTCAGAAGATGCCACCTTGGGAAGGTAAACTCAGAATGAATGGACATGAAGGAGCTGGACAAAGGGGAGAGAACATATGGGGTAGTGTGTGGAGTCAGGAAAGACAGCATTTCGGTTTGCCATTCACTGAGTTCCAAGCACCCTTATAGGCTCAGACAGTACTCCAAAATTCCCAGGTGGCAAGGAGACTAGGGCTTCACATTGAGGATCACATCAAATTTTTCTAGACACATAAGTCTGGGGTCTGACACAGACCACCAGTGAGAGGAGACAAGCCAGAGCTCCCCGGCAAACAGAAGAATCAAGTATCAATCAATAAACAAGGAATTCAGAGGAAAGCCTCCAGGCCACCTCACTTGGATCAGAGCCACCTTAGCTGCTCAGGGGTAAGCTGACCACTCTCCCTCCCAGGAAGGCTACCGTGAGAACAAACAAACAACTGCACAAGGGTAGCCGCGCCGAGCTCTATCAAAACTTTGTGGATTCTAGCCTACACAGCAGCTGATGAGCAGGAGAGGCCCAAGCCAAGTACATGAGTGAAAGGGAGCACACTCCAGGCCTGGGGCAAAGAGTCAGTGGTTTCAGGTAGTAGATGAATTTTCTCAGGGAATAGTTAACCCCACCCAGAGTGAGCACCAGTGCCTGCTTCCAGCAGCAGCCAGTCGGGGCCTCCCAGCAGGGTGAAGAACAGGGCCTGAGGAAACACGGGTTCTTTCAGCTATGGCCACTGCACACCTAAACCACCATCACCAGCTGGTCTTTCAACCACTGCAACTTTTCACAGGTCCCTGATCCAGCTGGGAACTTCTCGTACCTTCACCCATGCTCTTTCCGCTTTGTTGATGCTTTTCTAACTGAACCCAACTCCTGTTCATATTACAAGACTTACCCTAAACATTGTCTCCTTTCTCAACCCTGTTCTCAGTCACTGTCCAGCATCGATCCCGCTTACCCAATCCCCATCAAAATACCAAAACAATCTTCTCATTCCATGTCAACAGAGTTACATTACAACGTCCTTAGGCTCCTTGAGGGTAGGAGCAGCTCAGAGGTATCACTGCAAGCCCAAATAAAGTTTAAACGAATGGAAACAAACTTTGGTTTGCAGATGTTTGTAGTCTAATCCAATCAGGGCCATGCAGTCTGTGATTTGCCTTTATCCCAGAAAGGGCGTGGAATTGGGGGTGGACACTTCCCTCCAGAAAATAGTTTCAGGAATCACGCCTGGAATTTGTGTTCTCGAGGGGACGGGCAAGTTGCAGAGGCGGATCCGCAGCTTCTCAGCCCAGCGCCTAGGTCTAGACACAGAACTCAGAATACATAGAACCGACTAGGCCTCTGAAGTATGGCAAACGGGTTGGGAACCCAGACCAGTACCAGAAACACTACAGACCTTGGGGTCAGGCCACCAGCGGGGCCCTGCGGATTCAGGGAGGGAGCCTCACCTTCAGCCGAGACGCTGAAGGACGAGGCAGAACGGCCCGGCGCCAGGATGGGGAGGGATCGCACTGGGGGTCTGCGCCCTTCCGGGAACATGCTCAGAGATTTACTGCTCTAACCCTCGTCTGCCCTCACCAGCCGGGAGGATGCAAAGTCGGTCGGGAGGGACCTGGGGGCTCTGAGGAGACCCTGACCCAAGTCGCTCCTCTGCCTGCTCAGCAAGAGCCCACCCTCGCTGTCCTGGCTCACCTCCCGCGGGCCGGTCCAGCTTGAGGATGTCCCGTAGGTGCTGCGTGGCGTCCTCGATGTCGATGCTCGCGCAGGAGGCCATGGGCCCAGCCGCAGACTCCCTGTCCGCGCCGCGTTCGTTTCGCTGACGCCACGCACCAGCCGTGCACAGCAGCGCCGGGACCAGAGACGGGACGCGGATCACTACAATCGGTCCACCCGGAGAGCACAAACCGCCGCCCGCACCCCGTCCCTAAAACCACCCCCCAACACAACCAACCGCCTCCACTTCCGGCCCGCTGAGCCTCGGCTCCCGGAACCTGCATGGACAGGAGAAGAAAGGTTCCGCGCTGAGGGACTACGTCTTGCCTGTCCCGGAGCCCGTCTCCCTCTGCTACCCCACCCCCATGCCAACGAAGTCCGGTGAGTTTCACAGGGCCGAGTCAAAGCAAATGTCCACGTACTGGGCCGCGCAAAGCGATACTAGCCTCAGAATACCCCGCCCGTCCATGCCCACTCCCAAGGCAAGGGCTCTTGATGGGCCTAGGACCCGGTCTACTCGGCCACCCAGACTGTTCTCAGACTCCTCCAGAAACAAGCTGAATTGGCAGGAGCCAGAGTTACCCTTTAGGAAATAGGTCAGTGTAACCCAATTCCTGAGGGGACCCACAATGTCAGAAGGTCCAGGAATTCCAAGGTCACGAGAGCTAACCCCACCAAAAAGTTCACATTGTTCCGTAATAGGCCTCTGACAACATTCAGATTGCCCAACCTTATACCCTCAGGCAAAAAGAAACAAACAACAGTTTACAAACACCTGTTTATTGCAGACATTTCAGGCACAGATACATGGAAAAAGCTGTATTGCAGATTTTATACAGGGTGGTTTTAAGAGGCAGCAGGCACCTACCTCTCTCCCCCACCCCCAACACACAGCAACCTAGATCAGTCCCACTGAAATCTGCTCAATGTGCTGTTCTACCAAACAGCACATCATCCAGCCCTGTACCCAGTACAGCCAGGCAACCTCTGGGGGTCTGAGGAAGTCCTTGGCCTCCATCCATAGCTGAGGGAAAGGGGGGTACAGGTCAGGCATAGCTGTGGTGCCCTCATCAATCCTAAAATCCCTAACAGGGCACCAACCCCAAGTCCTGGGTTTGGTTTTAGCCTGTGGTTGCTACCTTGCCACCAGGTTTACACCACCAGGCCTCAGAGCTAAAGGGCTAGATTTGCCATAGGCAAGGCCTCTGTCCCCCAAAACTGAGGAGCATAAACTGTCCCAATAGTTAAGACTTCCTGGGATTTGAAGACAATGAGGTGTGTGGTTAGAAAGGGACTAGGAGGCCTAATGATGCCTTGCTGAGGTCTAAGAGGTGAGAAATTGTAGAGCACAAATCCCTCAAACTCAGATTGCCTTCCTTCATAGCTCTTGATCTATACTCCAAACCACCAGGTCTGCATCTGTGGGTGTTGGAGGCTGGTTGTTCTGGACACTTGCCTTTGAGCAAAGCTATCTATAAAGCAGGTGGTACAGGATCTGAACTACCCTCTTCTTGGCTTGGTATTTGTGGGGCACCCTGGGTGTTATCCTAACCCTTCTGGGGATAAAATAGGCCCCTCTCCCTCAAACCTTTGCTCAGAGGACCTGGACCTGATGTGCCATTTTTGGCAAGGCCTCTCCATGTTCAGTGGGACTCTGGGTCATATGTCCTGTTACTAGGGCCCTGACCCTACCCAGTGTAGAGGTCACAGGAGGTGTCAGAACTGACTACAGAGGCTTCAGTGCAAGGGAAGCTTCAGGCCAGACTGCAGCTCTCCCTGTCTGCAGCTCACTTTCCCAAGACCAGGTGGGCTGGGGAGGGGAGCACTATGCCCTACAGGGCTTCTGAGAGAAGCTAGCTCAGAGTGCTGCTTCAGCAGTCTTCTCCTCGCAATAGGCATTGCTGAGTTGGGGTAGAGGTGGGAGGGTGAGACATGAGAGCCAATTGGGCAAGGTAGTTATTGATGCCCAGCCAACTATTAAACTAATTAAAACAATTTAAACTGTTAAGAAAACTTTTGTGGTTTTATTGTATCATGAGGCATTGAAACATCTGAACAAATCAATGTCTGGGCGGTGAGGCAGCTGCTTTCTCCTTCACTTCTTTGGGTTACTAGAGCAACTTGTCAGTAGATTAAAAAAAAAAAAAAAAAGAGACAACCTTTTGCATTACTTAAGTCTTTCCAAGGCATGCGCTGGTACAACACAAACTTCTCCTGTCAGATGTAACTAGTCTAGTGTCCAAACATCATGCACAAAACCTAGGCAGCAGCAGCGCACTGCGCCCACTCCCACCACGGCCCTGCTCACATGGGTGTGATATCTGGAGCATCTGGAGGAGTGTGAATAGTATCGGGAAGAGAGGGAGGAGGAAACAGCATGAGTGCCTGGCTGGGAGGAGGTCAGCCGAAGTTGTGCAGGGCAAGTTGGAACATGTCATTGGTGCAAACCCAAGCCTCGTTGATGTTCTTTAATAGGAACATCTGGTGGAACCCCATGATGGGGTCTTCATCGGCCTGTAAGGAGAGAAACATGATTCAGTGAGGGGGCCTGGGAACAGGAAGGGAGTTCAGTGGTAGGGTCACAGGGCAAAGAATGCTGACTTTGGGATCAGGCTCTGTTGTCTTGGACTCAAATCCCAGTAGAGACAAGGGATACTTGTGAATATGAATGTATGAAACACTACACTGGGCACACAGGGGCCTACAGACAGCAGCTCATGCTGCTAAATGCATAGACTGCAGAACGATTCACCGGTTAGATACAGCTAAAGAGCAGAGAACGTACCTGCCTCCAAACCCATGCCTCTGGGCACAAGTGACCAATTTGAAAGAGTTCTGCACGCTTGTCTTGTAAAAACTAAACACCCTTTTAATTCTTATATGAAGGTATGTTTTTTTAAATTGATTTTAGAGAGAGAGAGGGAGAAACACTGATTGGCTGCCTCCCCTACACACTTTGATGGGGACTGAGCCCGCAACCTAGGCTGCTCCACAATGGCAACCTTCCCCTGACAAGGAATCAAGCCCACAACCTTTTGGTATATGGGACAACACTTTAAGTAACTGAGCCACCCAGCCAGGGCAAAAACTAACACTCTTTGTGTATGATTATGCCAGTTAATCCAATCAAGACAAGCAATTGCTAAATGCTGACTGTGGCCAAACATGTGAGAAATGGCTCAAAACCCAGTTCACACTGAAATCACAGCTCTGCAGGGGCAACACATAAGCCTTTGTCATCAGGTGATCCACTGAAAACAGAAAAGAAAGAGACCTCCAGTCGAACTGCACACCAGGATGGGGTAGGAGGTGTCTCTAATAACACTGGTTTTTCTGGGAATTATTATCAGCAAGGAAGCAAATCAGTCTTTTGAGGACTCAGAGTTGGGACAGAAACAGAAGAACCTGAAGCCATGTGGGAAAGGGCACTGCTTACTGAGCACAGCCTGGGAAAGGGGGCACCGAGCCCCGTGGAGAGACCTCCTCATTCCCAAGGGCCTATGTGAGTATAGCCTCCAAGCAAGGCATTGTGGACAGGCAGGAGACACCCACAGGGAAGTCCAGGCCATGAGTAGGTCCCTCTGAGTCCGATGCACAGCCTTGAGGGCTCCCTCAACCCCTGCATTAGACTAAGGAAGCCCTGCCTGCCCTTGGGAGAAGGCCTGCTAGTCTGAGCCCTGCCGGGACACATCCCAGGAGACTGGGACCTTGTCACGGAGCAGCCAATTGTTCTGCTCTGGGGAGGAGGCTTTCTGGAAACCAAAAATTTGGCCTCAGTCTGTTGAAGCACAATAGGTAGGAGTTTGTGGGAGAATTCATGGGGGGTGGGGACAGAGGTACTTCGAGGTCACAGGAAGCCTTTGAAGATGATGGGTCTTGAGAAGGGGAAAGGAAAAATGTGGAGAGAAGCAGTTCTGGGAATTTGCTCTGCTCAGCAGCCGGCTCAGGGAGCGGCAGCATGGGCTCCAGGAGGGCATGTTCAGGGCCACTGCCTACAGAAGACTCACCTGCACCTTGGGGTAGCATCATGGCCCAGTCGCCTAGCACCACAGCCTCATCTGGCTCCTATACCTTTTGTCCCTTTACCAAAAAGGATCTAAACCAGTGCTCTCCGCTAGAACTTTCCTCAGTAATGGAAATGTTCTATGTCTGTGCTGTCTAATAGGCAGCCACCAGTGATGGAGCACTTGAAAGAAACATGGCTAGTATAACTGAGGAACCACATTTTATTTCATTTTAATTAATGTAATTAAAAAATTACCACATGTAGCTGGTTGCTGTAATATTGAACTGTAACATTGAACTGCTCTAGATAGTGTCTTGGGTGTCCCTAGATAAGCAGGTCCCATCGCAGGGATGGCAGGGGCACAGGGCTGCCCTCTGCCTGCCCGCTTCTTCCTAGCAGCACTATTACCTTAAGCTGGCCCACAACCATGCTGATGATGCAGCTATCTGGCGTGGGCTGATGGTCCTGCGCCGTGATGCTGTGCTGGATTTTCTGGAACGGAAGGCTCTGCAAGAGAAAGAACGGGAGATGGGCTGCAGCCAGCAGGGAAGGAGCTGACTGTAGCCCCGCCCTGGCCTTTACTTACAGACAACTTCTCCACAATGGCAGCTTTCCCCTGGAATTGCTGTCCTTCCCACGTAAGGCATGACGCATCAATCTGAAAATCAGGAAATGGGGTCAGGGCCTCAGGGCACCAAAAGTACCTCTGAGGTCCTGAAAAGACCCCTAAAGAGAATCTTTCTTGGGGAAATAAGTCCATGCCTCGATTTCCCTGTCTGTAAAGGAGGGAACTGAGGATAGCTCCCAAACTTTACAATATTAACAGTTTCTTTAATTATACCCCACCGTCCCAGAGCTCAGGCTCTGAAAAATTAACGTAATATAAACTTATTAAATAAGTCCAATTCTCAGTTTTTATTCAGGAAGTCATATAGCCCGGCTGGTGTGGCCAGTGAATTGAGTGCCAGCCTGTGAACCAAACCAAAAGGTCACCAGTTGGATCCCCAGTCAGGACATGTGCCTGGGTTGTGGGCCAGGTACCCAGCTGGGGGCGTGAGAGAGGCAACTGATTGATGTTTCTCTTCCTCTTTTTCCCTCCCTTCCCCTCTCTCTAAAAACAAATAAATAAAATCTTAAAAAAAAAAAAAAAAAAAAAGGTCTTACGATGAGAGGAGGAGTTTAAATGACACTGAAACACTGTTACGGGCTTAATTGCATTCTCCCAAATTCACATGAAGTCCTGACCCTCCACTAGTTCCTGATGTGACAGTATTTGGAGATTGAGCCTTTAAAAGAAGCAATCAGAGTCAAGTGTGGCCATTACGCTGGCCCTCAGTCCAACAGGACTGGCGTCCCCATAAGAAGAGCAGATGAGGACACAGACAAGCACTGAGGGGAGGCCATATGCAGACACTGGATGGTGACAGCTATTTAGAGCCAAAAAGAGACACCTCAGAAAAAACCAAGCCTGCTGACACCTCAATCTCAGAACTGTAGCCTCCAGAACTGTGAGCAAATAAATCTTTCTTTAAGAAGACCTGGCTGGCATAGCTCAGTGGATTGAGTGCAGGCTGTGAACCGAAGTATTGCAGGTTTGATTCCCAGTCAGAACACATGCCTGGGCTGTAGGCCACAGCCCCTAGCAACCACACATTGATGTTTCTCTCTCTCTCTTTCTCCCTCCCTTCCCTCTCTAAAAATGAATAAATAAAATCTTAAAAAAAAAGAAGAAGAAGAAAAAAAAGTCATCCGACCTCTGATATGCATGAGCCCCAGGCTGGCCATATGTGGCCAAGGCTCAGCTAAAACCATCCAGCTGTGTGGTCAATCGGCACCAGTCCCAGAGCAGTCAGAAACAACTTGGGAACAGCCTATGTTTATCACTATCTATCCAGCCTTGGCAGAGTTCCACTGAGGCCCTTTCTATGGGGGCTGCCATGAGGTCAGGGAGAGATGGAAGCTGATAAAGCCTCCCAAAGCAACCTGCCAGCTTTGCCCCTCCCCTGCAGACCTTCCCTGCCACAGCCGCCAGGAGCAGACTTCAAAAGTGCCTCTGCTACTACTCACTAACTGTGACATTAGGCAAGTTACTTATTTTTCTGAGTCTCAGTTTCCTGATATTCAAAGGGAACATGAGCTGAGGATTATGTAAAATGAGATACACAAAGTGTTCTTTTAAAACTTCGCTAACTCTCTTCTCTGGGTTAGGCCTGCTTTAATTGACATTAAGAAGCAACGAGGCTCTGGCTGGTGTGGCTCGGTGGATTGAGAGTTGGCCTGCAAACCAAAGGGTCACTGGTTCAATTCCCAGTCAGGGCACATTCCCGAGTTGTGGGCCAGGTCCCCAGTTGGGGGCACGCAAGAGGCAACCACACATCGATGTTTTCCTCCCTCTCTTTCTTCCTCCTTTCCCCTCTCTGAAAATAAATAAATAAAAATTTAAAAAAAAAGAGCAACAAGGTGCTCTAATTGGTGTGGCTCAGCGGATTCAGTGCCAGCCTGCAAGCCAAAGGGTTGCCAGTTTAATTCCTGGGCAGGGCACACACCTGGGTCAAGGGCCAGGTTCCCGGTTGAGGGCATGTGAGAAGCAACAAATCAGTGTTTCTCTCGAACATCAATGTTTCTCTCCCTCTCTCCTTCCCTTCCCCTCTCTCTAAAAATTAAATCTAGCCCTGGCTGGTGTAGCTCAGTGGATTGAGCATGGGCTGCAAACCAAAGTGTCGCAGGTTCGATTCCCAGTCAGGGCATATGCCTGGGTTGCAGACCATGACCCCCAGCAACCGCACATTTTGATGTTTCTCTAAACAAACAAACAAACAAACAAACAAACAAACAAACAAATAAAAAATATTTAAAAAACAAAAAAATAAAAATTAAAAAAATTAAAAAATAATAATAAAAAAAACAAAAGCAACAAGGCAAAAGTGCCAGGATCCCAGAGTCAAATCAGTTCAAGCTTTAAAAATTCTCGATCTGCCCTGGCTGGATAGCTCAGCTGGTTAGAGTATCACATCATCTGGATACACCAGGGTTGCGGGTTTAATCCCTGGTCAGGGTACATACAAGAAACAAAAACAAGCCCTGGCTGGTGTGGCTCAGTGGACTGAGCCCCGACCTGCAAACCAAATGAAACAAAAGCAAAACAAAATTCTTGATCTACGATAGTGACAATCAAATAGCACTTGTGCTGACTTTGGCCCTCTGCCTACATGGAGGGGTTTCTCAAAGGCATACCAGCTTCTCTGGGCTAACCCTATTTGTTTCCCATGAGTCCTAAGGGGCCTTTGGCCCCCCAAAAGAAGCTGGACCTGGGGCCTCCAGGAGAGCGCCAGGCCATGACCCCAGAGGGGTCAAGCTGCCTCCAGAGGGCACCATGAGCACTAGCCTCTACCTTCTGCTTCCCAATCTAGAACACTGGCATGTCCAGAACCATGGATGGCCAGCCCAGAACACCCTGATCAGGGTACCAGAATCCCTACTCTTGTGGAACATGACAGAAGGAAATGTGTAAACCAGCTAGCGGGGCCAGACCTCAGGCCCCCCATCCCACGGACAGCTCAGACAGAAGGACGCAACCACATTCAGTGAGGGCTACCAGAACTAGTGAACTGGATGAAGTGGCCCAACACAGAACTAATTCCCTGGAGTCCCATTCTGGTCCTAGAGCTGCAGACTTACGTAAATTGCGCCTAATTGGGTTCTGTCATTATCAAATAACTGGTCATAATGTTGAGTGAAGCTGGATCCAGTCTGCTCCTAAATTGGCTTGTCTCCCATTCTGGAGCTTCACCCGGCCTTGTTGAGACCTGCAAGACCAGAGACAGGGAAGGGAAGCGTTGGTACTGTGGGAGCAAGAGGTAGGTAGCCAGCAGCTGTCTCTCCACTGACCCCACCCCCCTCCATGGTCTCCGTGAGCAGGAAGTCCTTTGCTGAGGTCTGTTCACAGAGGGAACATGGAAAGGCCCCAGAGAATTGGCAGAGACCTCTCCCAACACAGACCAGTGCAGGAAGTCTAGAGATGGATCAGACTCAGCCCCTCCTTTCAGGAGCTCTGGTTGATGAGACAGAGAGGTGCCAGGGTCATGGAGCACACACGATGGGTCCTAAAGGGGGACCCAGGACAAAGGAAGGGCAGAGCAGGTCTCTCAAAGCCCAGTAATGGGGTGGACCTTTAAGGAGGAGCTACGTACTCTCCCCATAGGTTTTCATTCAATCTTCTCAATGACCTGCAAGGCAAGACTTGTTGCTATTCTTCCCACCCTGTGGGTCAGCAATTACTGGTGTCTACGTGTAAAGTGTCTTCAACAATGGGGAAACCCCCAAAAAACCCAGAATTATCTTCTGGAGGGTGGGCCCCTTGTAGTATAGGCTTCCCCAGCTAGGTGAGTGTTGTAGGAACCCATCTGTATCAGTATACCAGCTGGCTTTGTTGTGAGAGGCTGCATTCAGCTTTGGTGAAAGACTCTTTCAGTGTGTTTGCCTATTTCATGATGGTTGACTTATGAGCGCATCTGCTCCACACTGTGGTAAGTGTTCAGCAGTATTTGACCAAAACCTGCATGACCCCTGTGCCCCACCCTCCCTATTCACCCGATCTCACTCTGAGCAACATTGTTTGGTTTCCCCAGGTGAAAAAAATCCTCAGAGGGAAATGAAAAACAGCAGAAACACTAAAAGACATCAAAATCAATGAGCTCAAAAACTGTTGTGAGCAGTGGAAAAAATGGCTTGATAGGTGTATTGCATCAAATGGACAGTACTTTGAAGGTGACTGAAGTTTAAACATGGAAGAATAAATACACAATCTTTTATAAGTAAACTCCTGAGTTGCCCCCCCCGCCGGTATTACAGCCCTCAGTGCCTCAACAATTCCCTAGTGCTTTCTTGGCAGGTAGAGAAAGACCCAGTGAAAGTAAGGGAGATGGTTCCTCAAGGCCCCATTTGCTACAAGAACAGCAAATGACAACCCCCTCCCTGCAGTCTTAAGGCGGCAGTTTCCATTTTTGAGGCCAGTAACGCCTGGCCCTTTCTGGAGCATTTCTTCATTGATGGGGGTGCCCCTACCTTCAACAGGGACAGTTCGGGGGGTGGGGGTCACAAAATAATAGATGAGAGATGTGGGGAGCGAGCTGCGAGGAGGAAACAGTTCATCTCTTCACACCCCCCCCATCCCTTAGCACTGCTTCTGCTGGGATGGGCTGTTCCTCTCCAATTTCTTAGGGGAAGGGGAAGCCCCACTCCTAGCTACAGGCACCATGGCCCCGCCCAAGGCTGCAGGATAAGGGAGTTGCTCTGGTGTTGGTAGGCCCCCCCCTGGGAGGGAGTCCAAATCCCACTGCGGGATCTCCAACAACAGACCCATGTGCTGCCCTGTAGCTGCCAGACTTGAGAGGGGCCCGGTCCTTCTCTCCTGACGACAGGACTCTGAAACAGCCGTGAGCGGGTGGGCTCGAGCCTGGCAGACCACCAGTAACAGTGGTAGGAGGTGGTGCAAGTCACTGCCTTTTTTAGGGCCTTGGCCTCCTCCTCCTGCTCCATAAAGTGGAGGTGGGTGTGAAGCCTCACTAAGGGAACCTGGTCAAGCCCTCAGCTCGGTAAGGTAAGTGCTAGTTCACTCCAGGCCCTGTGACCTCACCCAAGGCCAAAGGAGCCAGTGCGGAGGGACAGTAGCCCATCCCCAATCCAGCTAATCTTCTACCCTGTGACCAATAACTCCAGCCAATGAGGGGCCAGGAAGCTTAGCCAGCTTTATTTTAGGTCTCCTAGGAGGTGGTGGCACTAAAAATAGCAGCTCAGTGCTGGGATGACTAAGAAATGTCCAGGAAAGTCTAAAATAAGCAGAGGAGAAAACGTGGACTGGGCCACGCCTGTTACACAGGAACACAAGGTATGTCCCAGTTCACACTCTGCCAAGAAACAAATCAACAAATGGGAAAGGCACAGGACCGAGAGCCAGTCTCGGCAGTGTTGTCTTGGTGGCATTTCCAAGGGAAACCCACACACAGACTTGGAGTCCTTGAGGCAGGGCACAGCCCCACTTATCCCTGCCCCTTCTACCCTGGTGTTCACTTCACTTAGCTCACTTGCTACAGCCCGACCCCACTGCTTCGTACCTGCAAGGTGCCTTGCGCCCAGCCCCTGAGAGCTCTGGGGCAGGGGATAACTGAAGGGATGGATGAGGGCCATCTCTCCTTCTGCCTTCAGCAAGGCTGGGCAGCCCTCAGAGAAGGTCTTGGAGAAAGAGTGTGCTAATCGGAAGAAACAGCACAAGTAATTATCTGGGAAAAGGAAAAGAGGTAAGGGCAGGAAATTGGGAAGCCAGAGCTGGAGGGTAAGAGGAACTAAGGTTAGAAGCTGATCCAAAGACAAGGGCTGACTTGTGGTGGGTTGGTGAGGCAGAGGAAGTGTGTGGGTGTGTTTTTTTCCCCAATATTGTTCTAAATGATGTGATAACTTGCTAATACAAAAACTACTTGGTAGAAGTGGTGGTGGAGTGAAAAGGGTGGAGGAACGAAGGGATATAAGAACCCTTTGGTCTGGTGGGGCAGGGCAGGACAGGGTGAACTTTCCAGAGAAACTGGATAGCTCAGGGTCTCCCAGAAAGTGTGAGAAGGAACCCTCAAAACTAAGTGGATTGCCCTGGCTGGTGTGGCTCAGTGGACTGAGCGTCACCCTCTAAACCAAAAGGTCGCTGATTTGGTTTCCAGTCAGGGCACACGCCCAGGTTGTGGGCCAGATCCCCAGTTGGAGGCATGCAGGAGGAAACCAATTTTTCTTTCCCTCTCTTTCTCCCTCACTTCTCTCTCTCTAAAAGTAAATAAATAAAATCTTAAAAAAAAAATATGTGGATTGAGACTTTTGTTTTAAAAATGCCAAGCAGGGATCCCAAAGCCAGTATCAATGTCGTCTGAAGTCTGCTTGACTTTGATTTATTTCCACGTAATGATCATAACAGCCATATGGTCAGATTCCACTGTCACCCCGCTTAACAGGTGGGAAAACAGGTTCAGCAATGTGGGCTGTCTCATTCCAAGTTCATCCAGTGGATCAGTGCTGCCACTGGGTCCTCCGGTTGAGGCCCGTGCTTTCTTTTCACTACCTTTGCATCCATGAGCTCTAAGCCACAAAGCTGGCCATGTCCCTCCCCTACAGCACCACCTTGGCCTCTGGGTTAAAAGCCAAACCCCACAGGTGGCCAACCACACCTGTCCCTGCCTCTCCAGCCATTCTCTCCTATCTCAGTCCAGCTCCACACCAGAACCAACCAAGCGCTTACACACCTGGAAAGAAACAAAATGCCAAGGTGCAGAGGCAGCCTCCCAGCAGATTGGGGACTGCCCTTCATGGTGGCTTCTCCTAGAGCTCTTGCAAGAGGGCCACTGACCACGCCTTTTCCTGCTTCGCCCCAGCAGTCCACAGGCTGACTGAAGTCAGGCTCCTCGAGGAGCCCAAATGACCTTGATGGCCTCTCAGTCACTGGGCATCAGTGTCCTCTGACCCTTAGGTCTGTGGGTTCAAAGACCCTCTAAGAATGTCTAAAAAAACGGTAGCCCTCTCCCGATAAATTTGCACGGTGGCAGGATGCCCCAGCCTTGTGAATAATTTCAGGTTGTTTACATTTCCTGAGGTTCAGTTGTAGACCCCAGGTTGAAACTGCTGGCCCAGGAGATGCCTTTTGGCAACAGAAAAACTTCATTTTTACCCTAAAATTCGGGGTGTTTCCAGTGACAAAACTTGAAATAGCAGTGTCCAGCTGATAACACCTCATTTTCACTAATGCATATTAGGTAGAAAGATGAATGTGCTAAGGGCTTTACATGCATTTGTCCCTCACATCCTGCAAAATGAGGCTCAGCGATGTTAGCTAACTTGAACTTACTCAAGGCCACTAACCTAATAGATGGTGGAACTGAATGGAACCAGTGGGCTCCACAGCCAAGACCCCCAGCAACAGCTGAAGATAAAAATGAAGAGAAACAAGAAAGAAAAGCACGTGGAACTGCACCAAGAGCTGGGGCCCTGTTCTCTTGGCTCCGTGGCTTTCTCAGACGGGGCAGGAGAGGCCTGAACCAGGACCTCTGCCTCTTAAGACAGACACCCGGCAGATTTCCACACTCAACAGTAGGCGTGTTCATGGGAGATGATTTCACCTTTCCCCCAAACCTTCAAAGTCACAACTCTCTTCTTCTATCTCAGCAAAGCGAAGAGATCTTGGCCTAGCTGAACCTGGGCAGGGACTGAGGCGGGAGAGCGAGAGGGAAGAGGATGTCACTAACTCCAGACTGGAACACAGAACGATGCTCACATGTTTAGGGACCCACCACTGAGGCCACTGGATTGTCAGCAGTGTGCCGAGCTCATAGTGGGGTCCTTGAAATTGAGACCAGTGGTGGCCATTACCTTCACATCTACTTTCTGCCATATCCCAAACAGCCCTGAAGCATACAGGCTGGTAAGAGCTCCTCCAACAGGTGGGACTGACAGCCGCCAGCCTTGGCTTAAACCTCCAGGGCCCGGGCATGTATCACAGGGAAAGAAGGGAAACGCAGTGTACTGCCACCAGACAGAGCTGCACGGTGCCTGTTCTTCAGGAACACACTGCACCTCTGACTTCCCTGTGACCCTCCGGTGACTTTCCTTCCTATTCCCCACCAATGAAGTCTGAACCACTTACCTTGACTTCGAAACCTTGAGGGACCTGCCCTCTGGGCTGCCCAGCCTTGTCACTTGCCACCGACCCTCCCAACCCCTTCCTCTACAGACTGTGCATTTTCTTG